GAGAGAGAGAGAGAGAGAGAGAGTGTGTGTGTGTGTGTGTGTGTGTGTGTGTGTGTGTGTCAGTCAGCCGCATTTCCATTGAAGCAGCATGCCGGAAATACCCAAACTCCAGGACTGCAGATCTAGCATTTTGCACTTAAAAGATTAAAGTACATTTTCAAATGATTGAAGGTTGGTGGGAGGTGTAAATGTGGGCACTTGTCACTTTAATTCTTCAGATGATTAAGTTCTTTTCCATTTCTTTAAAGCTGTTTGCAGTGGGTTTGATGTCCTCGTTCTTGGTGAGTGTTGTGGCAGTTACCAAGGTGACTTTTAACTGACTTTCAACAATTTATTTTTCCCTCCAGCTTGAGACATCTCTAGCCCTGTGTGCTGTTGATTCTTCTCTACCAGCCCCCACCCTACCCCTTATTCTATTCATCAGCATTTTTCCTGCGTCAGAGAAACTGGGATACTCTAGCAGGCCCCACCTGGGCAGGCCAGGCCTCAGCCCCTTTCAGGAACATGGATGTGGGAACCTGTTGACAGAGATGGCATGGTGCAGTGACTGACAGTTACACCCTGACTCTTCCACTTCAACTCACCTTAGCCTTGTCACCTCCCCTGTCTGAGCCTCAGTTACCTCATCTGTAAAAGAAGGTTAACAATAGAGCCAACCTGGGTGCTTGCTGTGAGGATTCAGGGAGTGACCCTGTGGACTCAGCCAAGGGCCTAGTGCAGAATAAGGGCTCAGCAAATGTGGGCTGCTGTTATTTCCTGAGTTCTGCCCTCATTTGCATCCTGAGGGCACCCCCACATCACCTCTCAGCCCTCAGCTGTGAGTGGTGCCTGGCTGAGATGTGGTGTCCGGTGTTGCCTCCTCAGAAGGGAAGCATAGCAGCCCCTGGGGAAGGGAAAGGAATTTGGTCAGAAGTCCGAGGCTCCCACGCTGGCCTGCCACAGACCAGCTCTGTGGCCTTGGCTCTCTTGTAAAGGAAAGAGGTCGATTAAACAACTTCAGAATTTCTTTCAGTTCTGAAATACCATGACCCTCTTGGCCGTAGGGTTTGTCTCCTTCACAGGTCTTGAGAAAGGGTTTGCCAAGGAGAAACCAGGGGGGAAGGCAGTTTCACAGTTGGCTTTGGGGCATCAGAGGAAGGGACTTCTTTCTGAAAAAGCAGTCAAATCGGGGGTAGATCCTCACAAGGAGGAGAAGAGCAGCTGGTGGGAACGGTCCCCATTGCCTCGGAGTGTTTCTAAACAGTACCTCGGCAGCCCCTTGCTGTCCAAGGTGTCCCGTCCCCTGGGAAGATGCCCTGCCTGTCAGGGTGCCTCACTGGCCACAGGCCCCAGCACTCGGCCCCCACTGTGTGAGGCAGCTAGGCCTGCCCCTCAGTGGCTGTCCAGCTGTCAGGCCCAGACATCCTGGGTGACTCCTGCCTGCCACTTGAATGATAAATAACTCAAGCTTTTCACCCAGTATTTTGATCGACACTTAGGGAATTGTTATGAGATTCACAGCCCAAACTAGGATCCGGCCTTTTGAATGGGATCAGTGGGTAACCCTCATTTCTGGCTGAGGCAGATTTGAGAGGTTGTCAGTGGGGACAGCTAAATTTGAAAGAGCAAATTTTAGACTGCAAAGGGACCCTGCAGCCCAGCTGTGGGACAAGCTGTTGGTGGAGAACAGGGCAGGAGGGTGTATGAGGCAGCAGTGACGGCTCACTGTGGTCAGGGCTACAACCGGGAGGAATCTGGCACAGGCCTCCAGCAGGGTGGGGGCCCAGTGTTTCTTCCCAGCCAAGCCCACTGGTGTGACTCCTAAGAGCCTTGCTCCTACCCCCTTGGGGAGGATGGTATCATTTCCTGGTTAGATGAAGGATGTGTATGTCACTGCACTCCTGGCAACTGGCAGGAGTGTGTGTCTCAGAGCCTTTTCAGGGTCAATTGGACTGAAGCTCTTGGAGCTGTGTCTTCTGGTGCTCTGCCACACCCACCCAGGAAAGTCAGGGATCTGAGGCTCCAGGGCAAGAAAGGAAGGGCTCTCAGAAGCTCCTGATGATGTCACAGGGGAAAACAAGCCTCTGTGGCATGAGCCTTAACATAGTGAGTTAGTAAACATAGTGACTTAGTAAACAGTGAACCAGACCTACCTGAGACCAAATCCCAGCTCCACTCACTCATTGGCTATGCAACCTGGAAAAGTTACTTAGCCTCCCTGATCCCCAGTTCCTTATCTGTATCCACCTCATGGGGCGTTGTGGGGAGTACCCAATCAGTGAGAAGTCCTTGGCACAGTGGATGGCACTTGGCAAGCATATAGTGAATGGCAGCTGTTGTTATCATTATCACCAAACACCATTATTGTCATTATTATTCAGGAACCCAGCCAGAGACTCCCATCTTGCTCCTCCCTGTGGTTTTTACCTTGTGCTGAACCTGTTCCTGTGCTTGCTTCACAGGAGCCGCAAAGACAGCCTAGAAAGTGACAGCTCCACGGCCATTATTCCCCATGAGCTGATCCGCACGCGGCAGCTGGAGAGTGTACATCTCAAATTCAACCAGGAATCAGGAGCCCTCATTCCTCTCTGCCTGAGGTGAGCTGAGACAACCCGCTACTCAGTTCAGCTCCACAGCACCCAGCTTGGCCTCCAGGGGGCACTTTAGAGCCTTCCCAACCACCTTCCCCCAACATTCATCCTCCAGAGCTCTCAAGGAGCCACGAGGCCTGTGCTTGCTTCTCTGTCAGTAGCCCACACGCCTAGGCAGAGTCTGGAGCTGGGGAGGGAGCAGAATTCCTCTGGCAGCTCTACCTTGGGCTTGTGTGGGACTTTGTGGTCTCTGAACCAGCCAGTGGCCCCCCTGTCACTGGCCATAGAGTATTCTCCTTACCCAAGCCTCTGGCCAGCTTTGGTGGTGAGAAGCCTGTGAGCAATGAGGGCCAGTTGGCCCTGTAGATTGTCCCTGGAAAGGGGCTCTCTTCTCTTCATCTGTTATCTAGCCTAGAGCAATGGCAGCCCCCAGTGGGCCCAGAACAGTGACCATATAGTCCCATGTTTTTAGTCTAACTGCTTGGTTGACAGCAGACATTTTCAAGTTTCAGAGTCTGAGAACCCACGGGGAATAGGTGCCAAAGAACTCTCCTTTTTCCAGAGAATTTTCTCTCAGCCCTGCTCCCCTTATGAAGGTTCAGTGACCAAGGGAATCTCAAGTGCACCCAGCCATCCTACAAGGCCAAAGCCAGGGGACAGATGCACTGGGTTATCAGGGCGAGGGTTCTGGTGGGTTGGGCTCTATTTTCTCATGCTTTCTATTTTTCCCGTGCAAAACACTCAGTTCTTCAAACCCAGTGACCAGTCCAGCAGACTCCTTGGACCAGGAAGCCCAGCTGTGTCTCTGCTGCTGCTGTCCACAGTGCCAGAAACCCAGCCCTGTGGCCAGAATTCAGCTCTCTGGTTGGGATGCTGCATTGGGCTGACTCTGTTGCAGCTGGCTTCCTCCACAGCCCTCCAAGTTTCCACCCTCACTCTGTAGCAGGGGAAGAAACAAGAATAACTCTAAACTCAGAGAACAGTACCACAGAAGGAGGGGTTGCACAGTCGGGACCCTCCCCACTGTCCCTAGAGGCTGGGGAAGGAGTTTGGAGGGCAACCAGCCTTGGCCACCCACCCTGGGGAGCAGGGCAAAGATAGCAAGTGGTCAGAGTGAACAGGACGTGGCAGGGCCACTGCCAGGTCCCCCGCCATTTCCTCCCCAGCTACTTCTCCGGCGCAGGCTCAGGGCCTCTAGCCTGGAGGAGGGTTGATCTGAGAAAGCAGAGCAGGTTTAGCTCCCTTTTCTGACTGGCATTTCTGCCCCATCGGTCGCCCCCACTTGCTCTCCCCCCAGGTGTATTTCCAGACTGGGGATTAACCGTGACTTCTTGTGGCTCCCTCAGAGTGACCCCACTTGGCTTCAGCATTTTTTTCAAAGATGTGCTTGTGGCCTTTGGGCCTGCCATTTAAATGTTATGGGAAACCCCAGGAGCAGGTGAAGATTCTGCCCTGGACACTGTGAAGTGTACTGCTGTGAAAGCTATGCCATCGTCCCTCCACCCCCCACACAAAGGGGAATGCGACCCCACTCTTAGCTCTGGGCATGATCTTGGACACATTGCTGACTCCCCTCTCTGGCCTCATTCTCCTCTCTAGTACACGAGGGGAGGTAGACTCCACTATGTACAGGGCCTTTGAACTCTCCTCTAGAGTCGTCTCTGCCAGCTTTGAGCACTTTGGAAGGATGACATTAGTGAACTTGTGAGAAAGGCTTCTCTTTGAAGATGTTGAAATGAACATGTTTGGCTCCAATCTCCAGTTAGTGGGCAGGTGGGCAGTCAGAGGGGCATTAGCCAGGCACCCTGTCTCCGCGAGCATAGCCCCTATCGTCCCAGAGCCTTGGCCAGACCTGCTGTGCTTGGGGCTGTTTCCAGACCCAGCTCCTCACTGTCTCCATGTTCCCACCTCCAGGGGCAGGCTCCTGCATGGACGGCACTTTACATATAAAAGTATCACGGGTGACATGGCCATCACGTTTGTCTCCACCGGAGTGGAAGGCGCCTTTGCCACTGAGGAGCATCCTTACGCAGCTCATGGACCCTGGTTACAAGTGAGAAGGCTCTTTTTCTTCTCCCCACCTTCTTTCCATAGGCATTTCCATTGCCTACCCTCCCTTGGTAGCTCTTGGCGGCACCCCTTCCTGAGGGGCTGGATATGAACTGCCTCTTGGATCCAGGGCCTTAGGTCTCTGTGTGGAGTATGGACGCTGCAGCCTATGCCAGCAGCTCTGGGAGCGCTTCCTGATCTTCTCTGCCATCTCCTGAGACACAAGTGAGAACTCTGCAGGCCCTAGTCATTGGTAGTTCTGTTTGCTGTGGAAATCCAGGTTTGAAGGATGTGAGACTTTCTACACCCTGGATAAACCAAGGCACAGGAGACTGAGGATGAAGCAAGATGGGAGGCTGTGTGGAAGCCATGCTCTGGTAGCTAGATGGACATCCCCCCAGAATTCACAGAAAGTGGGTACATGTGCCTGGACCCTGGGGCTGGGATGGGCAGGCCTCAGAGGCTGGAGCCAATTAACACTACCACCCCCAATCTAATGGCTTCCTCGTTCCTCCTGATGGAAACCCAGCTTTTCTGAGCAGGAACACTTTGTCCCTCCCTTGCTCTTCTGGTGGTAGCAAGCTTCAGAGCTCATGCCAAGCAGGGTGCTGGGGCCTACGAGTCATAGGCCTCCTTCCAACCTCTGTCCTGTCCCAGGTCTCTAACAAATGCTCAGCCTGGTCCGCCACACTTGCAAGTGTATTATGACATCCTTTATTGACTTTTGTTTGTTGGGGGTGGGGGCGAAACGAACACTTTACCTTCCTCCTCTCAGGAGTACCAGGAAAGGGAACCTGACCCCAATCCAGAAGGTGACCATGCCTTGTTTGTGGTATGTTGGAGGGAGCAGGGGAGGATCACAGTCAAGGGGAAGAGAATTTATGCAGATTTCATGGGTTTAACCCAGTCTCAGGGGTCAGCGAAGCATATATACTCTCAATGTGGGCATGCGTTTTGTGCCTGTGTGTCTGCTTACAGCAGAATTTCTCCTTCCTCAGGCCAGCCCCCCACCCCCACCACCAAAATACTAACCCTTAATTAAAACAAACAGCAAACAAAGGACACCAACCACACTCCCCAGACTAAGCGGAGGTAGAAATGGAAGCTGATGCTTTAGGGATATTGTGTTCCATAAATTATCTTGCCTTTTTCCACTGTTGTTATTACATTGTTTCATAACAAAATTACTTTGAACCATAAAGTTATAAATACATTTTAAAAGTCCCACTTGGTAACATTAGATTTGTGTCCATGTGGTGTTGGTAGTTACTGTAGCAAAAGCTCTGAAGTGTAACATTTGAAATTAGCCCAGCACAAGTGGAAAGGGCCTCCCCCCACCCCCTACCCTCCAGCCGTCCCAGGCTGCCATGGCTGCCTCTGCGGAGGACAGGAAGGGAGCAGTCATCTCTCCTGGGCATAGATAATAGGAAGGTGGGAGGTGTCTGTGCAAGAGACCCCAGCCTGAGAGTTCATAGGTCACCATTCCTAGTAGATGACAGTGCTGACAGATCTTGGCAGAAGTATCCTCAGACAGCATGTGTGTATATTAAAGGTTCAAGCACGTTTTCTTGGGAAAGTAGGGACCGGGTTCTCCCCAAACTCAAGAAGAAATTCTACCCAGTTACATTTCACATCCTCAACTCTGAACCTGTCCTTGGAGTTCTGCTATTACCCCTTGGAACGTCTTCCTGCCCTAAGGAAAGGTGGTCAGCATCTCTAATTTTCAGCAGCCCAGGAACCTTGGCCTCCAGAGGACTCAGCAGAGTCCTGTTGCCCCTCAGTCCCCCTGAAGCCTTCCAGACTCACCTCCAACTCCAAGGCCCTTACCCCCCACCCCCACCCCCACCCCCCGCTGCTGGTGTTGCTGCTCCCAGCACCACACCTCCTTACCTCCCTGGCAGCCCTCAGTGAGCTTGAGCACTCAGCACCACTGCCTCCCAGCACACAGTCCCCTCCCATGGGCTGTTGCCTGGGGAACCGGGGAGCGGTGGGAACGAGCTGCTGGCCTCGGCATGTTTCAATAAAGTTGCTGTGTTGGGAGCTGCTTAATCAAAGGCCTGTGTTATGGGCTCATTAGTGTGGTCCACCACGGGGGCCAGCTCACAGGAGAGCTCCTGGGAAGGCTGGCTGAGGCCCCGCTCCCCAAGCACACACCCTTGATCACTGAGGGGTTTCTCAGGCCCTTTCCAAGGAGCCCTGGGAAACCCTCTGACCCTCCCCCCAGCTGGATTCTCAGTGTGGAGCCAACACCCACACTAGCCCTCCTGCCTCCCAGCAAATAGTCAGCATTTTCTGCATATGACTGCCAGCCTGCCCTCCCCTTTAGGGTCCTGCCACTGTGGTCATAGACAGCTCCCTAGCTTGTGGGAACCTGGGCTTGTAATTACTTGTGGGCCTCTAGGTCTCCCTCTGGGGCTGTCTGTCTCCCCAGGAGTCTGCAGGACCTCCTGGAGCCTGGGGTTAGACTCACAGTCACCAGTGAGGGCCTACTCCATTGGGCCAAGAAGGGCCCCAGGCCCCTCAGGAGGGAGACCCCCACACGGAGTGGCCAGTCCTTGCTCCCTTCAGGCATGTCATGCTCCCACTCCCAGGGTTTGGGGGTGTCTCTTGGGTCTGTGTGCCAAGAGGAAAGGGAAAGAGCTGAATGCAGCAGACCCAGGACTTTTGTTCTCTTGGCTGAAGCTTCACCTCTTTATGATGGTCCCAGCTAAATCGGGAGGGGCTGAGATGACTTTCTTGCATCAGCCTTCAACAGCCTCGGAAGCCCTCACTCCCGGTCTTGGCACCTTGTTCTGGCTACCAGCCCAGGCCTGTTATCTCTAGGGGGAAAGGCATGGCAAAGACACCCTGCATGGGGGAAGAGTGACAGAGGAGAGGCTGAGAGGAAAAGGTGGAAGGTTAGGGAAACTGAGCCCCTTTCTGGAGCTTGTGGAACAGCTCCAGACAGGCCTCCCCTCCTCCTACTCCTGAGCCAGTACCTGCCTACCTTCCCCCATCTCTCAAGAAAGTCAAGGCCCCAGTACACAGAAAAGCAGAGCATCTGCAATGCCAGGTGGAGTGCAGTGGATACTCCCTGCTTTATAAAGGAAGAGCTGGAGAGGCACAAATCTAGCTCCAGTCCCACAGACTTTTCACTTTCTGGAGAATGACACCTTGACTGCATCTGCCCTACCATGTGCTGTTTGTTCTCATCCTTGTTGAGATTGTAAAGCCTATCAGCCAGCTCCAGAGCTTTGCAGGAGGATCTTCAGACCCTGGGTGGGAGGCCCGCCACAGTCCTCTCCTTTACCTCCTTCCCCCAGCGTTCTCACATCCCAGTGGCTTTAACCAGCCTCTCTCCTTTGAGCCTGTCAACACTGGGCTATTAGTCTTCTGAACAGGAGCCTGGCCCACAGCTGAATTTTTCATCCATCCCCACCGAGGGTTGCTCTGATAGGGGAGAAGTCTCAGTCCCAGAAGTCACATAGGGGTCACATCACCAAATATGAGAATTTTTTTTAGGCCCTGCAGTGCTTTGTCAGCTGTGTGGTGTCTGACAGCTTGCCCAGGTGGAGCCCCCAGTTCCAGCCATTCCCTCCCAGCCCTGATGAGAGGCCCCAAGCTTGGGAAGACACCCAGTAGCTGTTCCAAGTGGTCTTTGCTGCTCTAAGCTAGGCTCGGGGAATCTCTGCTGAGGTTTCCCACAGCCCAGCAGCTAACCCACCACTCTCTTCTGGACAAGCCTTTGCATTCTCCAGTTCCCATCCACCCATTTGAATGTTGTTTGGAAGATGGCTTGGGAATCCCTGGCCCAGGCCCTGGACAGTTCGCCTTTGGTGCCTCTACTGTTTCTCCTTCCACTGGTGAACCTGGCCATACCTGTTCTCCCTGGAGACCCTTTGCTTGGGCTGTCCCACAGACCTTTGTCCAGGGGGATGCTCATTAAGGTTTAAAGCCTCGCAATGTGCCTGGAGAAGTACCCTCCTTTGCAGGAGAGGACTATGGTGCCCTGCTGTGTCCCCAGCGGCCAACAGCCAAGCGGGAGTCTGAGCCTACATCTGGCCCCCAAAGCCAACTTCTCATCACCCACAGAGAACAGGAAATGAGCGAAGCCTCACTGGCCCCCACTGTGCTACCTGCCAGCAAACACACATACCTCTGTCCCTGAGCTGCTGTTTTCTGGCTTTTATCTGGCCTGTTGAGTAGCAGGGTGGGGACACAGATAGGCCTGCCACTTCCTCATCCCTGCCTCCTCCACTGCCATCGTGGCTGCCAGAGCAGCTCCTTGGCAGGCCCTACCACTGTAAACAACACATTTCCTTCCCTGAGAGAAGGAAAGAGAGGGAAAAGAAAGCCAAACTTGTTGGATAGCAAGAACAACGTGTCAACATGAAGAGCAAATAATGCCTGGACAAAGTGTGGATTGTCGTACCAAGGCGAAGGAGTGGTCATTGTCAGCGCTCTTTGCAGACTCTGAAATATCAGTGACCACAGACATTTGAATTGGCGTCAGATCTGCAGCAGCTGGGCTCCTGCTTGCAGCACTGATGAAAGATCACTTTTCGAGTTCCTTCTGGAACTTACTGGGGCCTGGGGAATTGGGAGATTGTTGACAATTCTGCCTCACCACCAACCAGCCAGGCTTGTTAAGGCACCCAGTAGGACCCCATCAGAGTATGCTGCTGGCCTAGATTCTAAGCCCCCCCCCCGCAGCCAAAAGTGGGCAGTAGAGAGTAGGGGCCCTCTAGGCCTGAGTATTTCCCAGTACTACCTTCACCAAGATCTCTTGGGGTGCCTTTTAAAAATGCAGGTGAAAGGGCCGGCCCGGTGGTGCACTCGGTAGAGTGCGGCGCTTGGGAGTGTGGCGGCGCTCCCGCCGAGGGTTCGGATCCCATATAGAGACCGGCCAGCTCACTGGTTGAGCGCGGTGCGGGCGCGACACCAAGGGTTGTGATCCCGCCGGTCGCGGTACGGGCGCGACACCGAGGGTTGCGATCCCGTTACCGGTCACGAAAAAAAAAAAAAAGACAAAAATTAAAAAAAAAAAAAATGCAGGTGGAAAAAAAAAGGAAAAAACAAAACCAAAAAACACATAAATAAATAAAGAAAAAAATAATAAAAATGCAGATGAGGGCTGACTGGTTACCTCACTTGGGACAGTATGGTGCTGATAACACCAGAGTCAAGGGTTCGGATCCTTATACCAGCCAATCACCCCTGCACGAAAAAAGAAAATCAAATTTCAGGCTGAGCCCGTGGTGCACTCGGGAGAGTGCAGCACTGGGATCGCAGTAGCGCTCCCGCCGCGGGTTCAGATCCTATATAGGGATGACCGGTGCGCTCACAGCGCTCACTGGCTGAGCGCGGTGCGACCGGTCTCAAAAAGGACAAAAAAAAAAAGAAAATCAAATTTCACAGCTGGCCTGTTAGTTGGGTAGAGCACCACCTTGTAACCACCAAGGTCAAGGGTTCAGATCCCCATACCAGCCAGCTGCCAAAGATAAAAAAAAAAAAAGAATTAAAAATGCATGTGCCTTGGCTTTGCCCTAGGTTATTCTGATTTAGGAGGTCTGGATGGGGCTTAGCATCTTCATATTTTCAAAGCTTCCCCGGGGAGTGCACTACTCAGATTGGTTAGGGTCTTCCTCTCTCACTAGAGGGTCTCCTCTCTCCAGGGGCTGTTTGTGCACAAACGTGTTTTATGCCCAGCTCTTGGTGAGTGCAAATATCAGCGAGTGCTGTTATCATCATCATCATCATTATCTCTATTGCTATTTTCTGGGCTAGAAGAACTATTTCTTTGTTTTGTTTTATTTTTTGTTTTGGTGGCTAGCTGGTGAGGGGATCTGAACCCTTGACTCTGGTGTTAACAGCACCACACTCTCCCAAGTGAGCTAACTAGCCAGCCCTAGAGTAACTATTGAAATGTATGTATTCAGCAGCCCAACCTGGAAATTTGTCCCACTGTTCCCACTTAGAAACCATCTCTGGGCGTTGTTTGCCTTCTTTTCCAGTTGGTCAACCTGGTTTCTTAGCAGCTGCAATCTGTGATGTTCAGGGTTCCTGGCCTCTTGAGCTGAGCAAGTGGCCAGGAGATGTGTGGCTAATTGGGGTTGGGACTGGTTTTCCAGGCCATTGGAAAAGCCAAAGCCACCTTCACTTCCCTCATCACAGGAGAGAAAGAGGAGTCAGCCCTGAATATACAGGCTTCTAGAGTTCGGGTATTCTCCCCAGATGGGAAAAGAGCATCCTCTACTACCACAAGGTCATATTGCTCTTCTTCTAATGTCCAGGAGACTTGTCTCCTCTTGGCACCTACATCTGCAGAGTGGGGATGATAGTTACCACCCTTGCAGGAACTCCATAAGTATTCAATGAGATGATACAGGTCGAGCACTTAGCACAGTGCCTGGCACATGGTGATGGGGGAGGGGGGAACTACTCCTGCTATTGGCCATTATAACTGTCATTCTCATAACCATTGCCATTATTATTTGTGGCAGAGCCAGGCAGCTCCATGGGGACCTAGTGAGCTTCAGGAGTGCCCAGCCCCAGAACTGCACAGACTTTTCCCACAGTTGCATCACAAGGGCGAGTCTGTTACTCGTGAGAGCTCCCAGGAGCAGCTCCACCATAGCTGTCTATCTCCAGTGTCCTGTTGATAAGATCTGTTAACATTCTCAGCTCCAGGTCTGAAATATACAAAGAACAGGGCCTGTTTGTTCAGTCCATGTTTCTAAGGTTTAACTCCCAAAGGAAATTAAATTAGGTGCCTGGAGCTATGACAGTCTGTCGTGTTTCTTTGCAGAGAATATCACCCTTAATATCCTGCAGATCTCTTGTATAATTTTCCCCCTTTAATTCTTTTTTTAATCCCTATGTAAAGATGACCAGTAAGGGGATCTTAACCCTTGACTTGGTGTTGTCAGCACCACGCTCTCCAAAGTGAACAAACCGGCCATCCCTACATAGGGATCTGAACCCGTGGCCTTGGTGTAATCAGCACCGCTCTCTTCAAGTGAGCTACGGGCCGGCCCTTGCTCCTCCATTTTCACTTTCGGTGATTTGCTGGTTCCTGCTAGAAACTTCACCTTATTTTAAAAGAATTAAACGGGGGACCGGCCTGTGGCTCACTCGGGAGAGTGCGGTGCTGATAACACCAAGGCCACGGGTTTGGATCCTATATAGGGATGGCTGGTTAGCTCACTTGGAACTAGTTTAGGACTGAACTTGGTGTTGGTGGCATTACCTTCCCTTGAAAAACAACTCCCTTTGGAGTCTGCTTGGGTGGCCACAGTCCCTGTGAGCCCTCTCCCGTCCTCCTGCCCTCCCTCATACCCCATCTCAACCCCAGCACTAGTTAAAGTCCCAGATCTACTTACCACTCTGGCAGAAAGCCCCTCCCTCTAAATTATTTGTGGGTTAGAAATCAGCCCAGCCTAGACCAGACTGGAGCCATTGTAATATAATTGGGTTTTAGGTATGCTTGTGTTTGTGCTAGCATTTGCAGAGATGGCAACAAGCCCCGGAAATGCCAAAAATATGAATGTGACTTTTGTACTGCTCAAGCAGACTGGTGATAACTGGTGGAGAGTTCTGGACTTTTGGGGGGAACACCTCTGGGATAAGAGAGTGGAAGGAGCAAGGCTTAGGCAGCGGGAGGGTTCAGTATGACTGGCTGTGGCTGTAGTCTGTGGGAGGAGTTGGCCAGACCCACTTTGGGGAACTTGGAGTGGGGGGCACCTTAGATGGGCACTTCCCTTGGCCCACTTTGCCCCTCTCCCTCTTTCTCTAAGCCTTGTCTCTGTCCTCACTTGAGGCCTGAGTGCCTAGAACAGAAACTTTGGTGAGGAGATGTGGGCCAGTGGTCAGAGCACTTTGGCCTGACTATGGGCTTGAAGCCTGGGAAGGACAAATTTTTTGGTTCCCTGTAACCCAAGGGAGGGTGCTTGTCCCAGTGGGAAATGGGCAACCTTCATGCCTGTGTCCCTGGGAGAATGAAGAAATGAAGAAATGGCGTTAAGAGTTCAGGATTCAGAAGCAGTTCTTCAGACATGACAGGGATATGGTCTCATCTCAGCCACTCACAAGCCATGTGACTTTGGGCAAACGGCATAATCTGTCTTGCCTCAGTTTCCTCATCAGTAAGGAGACTGAAGGAGAAAAGATATGTGCAGTTAGCACGGTGCCTGGTGTGATGGTGACTTTTCTGCTCGTTTGGGGGGTAGTGTTCTCATTCCTCTCTCCCACCTCCTCCCCATCCACTTCCTTCCTTTGGAGTCCTCCATCCTGCGAGGTCCCTAGTGATCCTGCTTGCTCATTTTCTTCTCTCTGCCATTTCACTTTATCTCACCATGTGGAAAGTTCTGTTCTTATCAGAGTGGACAACTCCCAGGGGAAACCTGATGGGTATTTTCTCAAGTTCTTCATTCCTATCCTCACAGGGTTTCCTGCAGAGGAGCCCCTCACCTTAGTCTTCACCCCATGGTCATTCTTCCTCTGTGCTCTGCCCAGGACCCTCAGAGGATAGTAGAGCCACAGCCCTGGGATGCAAAAGGGTCTGCTGTGGAGTCCAGGGGGCCCTACAGACAAGGACAGGGAGGAGAGGGGGGTGAAGGAAGGGGTCAGATTTGTAAGAGGAAAGACATCTTCAACCAGGGCCCAGAGTGACACAGGCACAGGGTGAGCTTGGCCTGGCTCTGCAAGGCAACCTGACCAGAGGAATGGTTTCGGAGAACGGCCCATTAGGTGGAGGAAGGCCTCATTTTAGTGGCTCTGAGCACCCTTGGACTTTCCAACTGGCTGTGAAAACTTCTTTAAGGGGTTAGTGTGGTGGTTGTGCCAGCCAAATAGTGAGGCCAGACTGTCCTAGAGGTCAAAGCATGAGGCGACAGGGCCTCAGATTAGAACAGCAATGTGGGAAAGCTGGGAGGTGACCTAGAGAAGAGGTGTCTCAAGCCCTGAGGAACACAGTGGCTGGAGGAGGCCAGCAGGGCTGGGGCTTGGGAGCGTCCAGCCTGAGAGAATATGGGTACTGTGGGTGGAAATGGAAGTTCCCATCTGTAAAATGAGAGAGGTTGGTCCACAATCTTGAAATTCTCCAGCTCAGACATTCTTGGATGTACCTTCTGGGTCATTTCCAGATTCCAGACAGGGCTTGTATTCCAAATCCAAACAGATTCCTTTCGTCCTACCAAGTTGGGGGAGTATGGGGTGGGAACATGTGAGCCTGGCTAGACAAGGAAGATGTTGGCAATAGCTCTTCTCTGCCCCTTGGCTCCTCTGTTCCCCCTCTACTGCACCGCCACATGCAGGAGGCCCAAGCAGCCAAAATAGGGGATTTTCTCCACCAATTTCCATCTCCCTTCTGGGGCCAGCACTGCCAACCCTTTCGTTGTCCCCATCTCCCCCATTGTCCTCTGACACTCTTCTCTGTCCTGGTCTGTCTGGTCAGCCCAATATTGCAGATGATGGTAGTGAGAGGTATTGGGGGGTATGGAGGGCAATGACAGCCGGGGACAGGCCTCAGACACTTCTCTCTGTCCCTAGAACAGATGACAGTGAGCTTATATCTCCTCCATGGCCAGAAGAAATGTCTATGGCTTGGCAGTTGGCAAAAAGACCATATATTTAAAAGTTAAAAACCTGCCTTATGCCTTCTTCACAGATTCTGTTGACCGAAGAGTTTGTGGAGAAAATGTTGGAGGACTTAGAAGATTTGACTTCTCCAGAGGAAGTAAGCCTGTTTGATTCTCTGTGACAGCGTGTAGTCTCCATGGGCATTTGTGTGTGCATGTGTGTGAGAGAGTGTGTATCTGGATGTGTGTCTGCGTCTGCGGGCTCTTCTTTGAGGTGCAGGTATAGCCTGGAGAAGAGACCCTAGAGATGTTAAATGGCTTTGTTTCTCTTCTGTTTCCATGAGCCACTAGTGCCCCCTGCCCCATCCCCTGCCCTTGTAAAGATACCCAGCAAATTGAATTGCCAACTCCTGAGAACCTCATTGAAGAGGCAGCCAGGGGGCTCTTCTTTGAGGTGCAGGTATAGCCTGGAGAAGAGACCCTAGAGATGTTAAATGGCTTTCTCTTCTGTTTCCATGAGCCACTAGTGCCCCCTGCCCCATCCCCTGCCCTTGTAAAGATACCCAGCAAATTGAATTGCCAGCTCCTGAGAACCTCATTGAAGAGGCAGCCAGGACCTTCAGGCTTGTATGTATTCTCCCCAGCCCCTGCTGTTCCCTGGCAGGTTCTGAACAGAAAGCCCACATCTGCTGCCAGAGAACATTCCACTGGGGAGTTCTGGTGGGCAACAAGGGACTCCCGCTCTTGCCTTGGGCCACCCAGGAGCCACTCTCCCTTCCTCCCTTCCCCAGCCACAAGCTGTCCCTCTTAGTCCACCTTGTCCAGCCCTAGCCCAGAGCCTGAGGAGCTGGCAGGCCAGGTGCAGGTTGTGCGTCCCCTGGCTACTCCTCTGGGGTACAAGAATGGAGTCCATAATCCCCTTTGTTTTTCTTCCTTGTTCCCGGTATCCTCATTTGTGGGGACTTACCTCATCCTGGAAAGTCCCTTTCCCTCCCCCTGCCTCCTAGTAACCCACACCCCAGCGGGATCTGAGCCTTCCTGGCCTCAACGCCCGACGGGTTAGTGGAACATTCTATGGGTTAGTGGAACATTTGCAGGCTGGCTTGGCCTCTGGAGAGCTCTTCTGGGCCCTCCCCTGCCTGTGGCAGAGACAGACCCTTTCCTTGCCCTGTCTGCTGGGAAATGTGCTTGGGGACAGCTCCTTTACCTCCCAGGGCCCAGGTTTTCAAGCCAGAGGGAGGCTGGGCAGTAGCTAGGTTTCAGCCAGGGCAGAGCCTCCAGCAGCCAGGGGACGCAGATGCCTCTGATGTCCATGAGGCCAAGGAGAGTACATAGGGTGGGGCCTCCTGTCCAGGACTCTGGGTGGACAGTAACTCCTCAGAGCTGAGGTCACCCCAATAGAGCAGTGTCTTCTCTGTCCTTTGGGATACAGCTTGATAAATTAATTCATTTGTACATTCCAAAGTCATCAAGCACCCAGCCTGTGCCAATCAACCCCCACAAGTCACTGGTCTCTGAGGCTTAGCTCCCCATTCAGTCAGACCAGAGCCAGCTGCCCAGAGCGCTTCCGGAGAGGCCTTGTCACACTGGGATGGTGCTGTGCCAGGTTGCTGCTTTGAGCTCGGGTGTTGAGGGGGTGGGAGGGGGACAGTCCAGGCAAGAGGGACAGAAGCCAGGGGAGCTTAGGAAAGTAGGTCACTAAAAATGACTTTTTTCTTTTTTTGCTTTCCTATCCAGAGGCTGTCCCCACACCCTGCCCCACTCTCCACTTTGGTCCTGGCATGGACTGTCCCCATCAGAGGGAGGGAAGAGGGAGCCAGCCAGGAAGTGTCACGCCTGTCCACCTCCAGCCCCAGCCCTAGGCAGGCTGAGAGCCTGTTCTCTCCTTTCTACCCTGGCCCTGACTTCTGGCCCAGCCCTGGGACAGTGGGAGTCATAAAAGACAGACCGTGTTTCCAAGCTCCAGCATCAGTACAAGCCAGTGAACATTTATTGAGCACCGGCTGTGTGTCAGACCACATGCAAACTCCTAGAATACAGAGGAAATAAGATATGTCAGTCTCTTCCTCTCCCCCCCACCAGAAGCTCTCAGGCAAATGAGCGAAACACTAAAGCTATAAGCAAAGCACTGATTCCTGGGGTGGGCTAGGAATACGTTGGCTCTCCTTGGCCACCACTGGGACCACTCAGAGACTGGTAATGCTTTGAAGCAAATGAGAATGAGTGATGGGGAGTGGGGTGGGGATTTGTCCCTCCTGCTGAGGCACCAGCCAAGAAAGCAGCTCAAGCCATGCTGGTCCCACTCCTCTGCTCCCACCAGGGCTGCAAGTGTGGGTCTGACTTTGGGGCCGAACCATGACCTCCTTCCCTTTGGACCCTTTGGCAAAGGCTACGGAGAACAGTTTCCAGGGTCCTTCCCACACCAGCCTCTGAAATGGGCCATGGCAATGACAGACCTCAAGCCACTTCCCATAGCATCTGCACCCTCCCCCAGGCCCCTATCCTCCAGCCCAGGGCCTCAGGGAACAGATTCCTTACATGCTTGTGGCTGGGGGCAGAACCGAGGAAGTGAGCAGGAGGTGAGGTCAGCACAGTCAAGAAAGAGTTTGAAAACACACTGCCTCCAACCCTGGTTAATTATTGGTAGAGCAAGGGGAAAGAAGGGGTCACTGAACTCCAGCAGCTTGACCCTAGCAGTCCACCTGGGTCTAGCATTTGAGAGTGAAGCCAGGCATCCAATGGCCTGTCTTGCCCCCAGTGTCCCACGGACAGGGCCTGGGTGAGGGTCCTGGCCTCTTTCTCAGCAGTCTCTGGGCAGAAGGCAGCGGATTCTGCTAACCACGTGCACTCTGGGTCTGTGCTTGCTCCCTCCACAGTTCAAACTTCCCAAAGAATACAGCTGGCCTGAAAAGAAGCTGAAAGTCTCCATCCTACCTGACGTGGTGTTCGACAGTCCGCTGCACTAGCCTGGGCTGGGCCCTGCAGGGGCCAAGGGGGAACCCAGCTGCTCCCCAGTGACTTCCAGTGTAACAACTGCGTAAACGAGATTCCCACAAATAAAAGGACAAGTGTGAGGATGACTGCCCAGCCACCACACCCACAGCCCGGTGGGATGCCATGCATGGCTACAGGCCTCCCACCTCATCTCCAGCTCAGGGGCCTCCCCCACCAGTCGGCCAAGCCCATGTGACCTGGCCCTGGTCCCACTAGGCCAGTGAGCAGGCAAATGCAAACCCTTTCTACCTGCTGCATCACAGGTCCTGGTTTGAGACTTGACTGGACCCTTGATGTGCCCCTAGGTGGAGCCAGGCCTTGTTCTCACCTACCCCCTGCCACCCAACCCTGCAGGAAAGAGGAAGAGCCTCTGATGCGGAGTGTACATGCAAGTGCCCTGTCCAGCTCAGCTCTGGGAAGCCTTTGCCAGTCAAGCTCCTCTGGCCACAGAACAGTCCCTCCAATTGCGTTTGGTTTTCTTCTTCCTTATTTTATTTTGTAGAAACCGGATGGTATCTTATTGCTCTGCAAAGGTGTCCAGAGCCATGTATATAATGATTTTTAAACAGAACTTTATTCTCAGATGAACTTTCTCATTCTCTCAAATGGGTTGGGGCTGCGTCTCCCCCCTGTATTGCCACCGGAGAAGGTGCCTGGTGCTGTTTGCCTGCCAGCCCAGGGCCGTGGAGGAGCCAGCTTCACAGAGAAGTTTTTCTTTCCAGCTGGGCCTGGCGGAGCCTGGGGCAGGGGGAGAGCAAAGATACTCCTCCATGCAGCCTTGAGCTCAGTTGAGCTGGGGCCAGGAAGGGGTGCTGCTATTTTCCAAGTGAACTGGGCCTCACTAAGTTCAGGGACCCTCAGGTCTCAAAGACTTGGTGACCCCAGCCTCATCTTCCAGGCCTTTTCCACCCTACCAGGACTACCTGGGATAGGGTGAGGCCCAGCATCTCACAGACCATCCCCACCTGCCACTCAGGCCCTGGGTCTCCAGCTCTTTGACCACTCCTTTCCCATTTCCTCATCCCCCAGACTTCCCAGCCCCCAGGCTGCAAGACTCTGGCTTACTAAAAACTGAAAAATCAACCTCTGAATATCTCTTTCACTTTGATTTTGCCAGCACTGCTCTCTGCCACCCTCCCATCCTCCCTGCATCTATTCAGTTCTCATTTTTCATTCCACATCCCTTGTCCTGTCTCCTTTCCTTGGTCTCTCACCCCTAGTTATGCAGATCTCACAGTCTGCCTTCCAGAAGCCAACCTATCTCTAGCCCACAGTTTTGGGGTTCCTCTTGGATTATCTCCCACTCCTAACCTGGAATCAGCAAGCCCCTGTCCTGCCCTCTTACCCTGGACTTTAGGGACTGCTAATTCAAGATCACCCTGCAGACCTCTCAAAAGCAAAGTTATTTTGTCTGTCAGGGATCATGCATGGCTCCTCACTGCCCCCATCTGCCTCTGCCACACACATGGGCACCACCAGAAGTGCTACAGTAGGTCCACAGAGTGCAGGGGACATGAGGCCACTGGCTGGGCTCTCCAGTGATCAGGAATTGGATCTCCAAAGGACCACTAGGCCTGGCCCCTTCTCCTGTACACACCCAGGGCTATCTGGTTAACTCCATCAAGCTCCAAGCTTCAAGGGCGATTAGCCTGGAGTGTTTGGGAGAGACTGGCTCCAGGCCCCCACCAGCCAAGAATCAAGCCTCTCTGGACCTGATGTCAGCAGCAGCTGTGCTTTCCACTGCCCTGAGGACTTTTCCAAAAGGAAGCTTACTGGTCTTCACCCACCACAGCAGCCCTGCCTTTGAAGCGCTTGTCTTCTGACATTTCATAGGCAGAGAGATGCCATCAGTTTGCCTCCATTCCTTTCCACCCTGACCAGTCACTCCCCAAATTCTCTCTTCCTGGGGACCTGCCCAAGGGCTCCCTGCTCCAGTTCATCCTGCCTCCATCTGCCTGATTGGGGTGGGAGGCATTTTCTGAGCTAAGCTTTGTCATCAGCATGTGAGGCATCTGGTCAACAACTTGCCCGAGGCCTGCAGGGCCTTTGCAGATTAATCGTAGGCACCACCAGTGAGGCAGTCTCATTCTAGGGGAGCAGGGGAAGGCAGGAGGAAGCAGGTGATCTCTGAGATGCTGAGCCCCAGGACCCCTGTGGCCCCTTCCTGCCACCATCATGTCAGGAACCTCATGAACATCCAAGATTCCACTAGGGCCAGGCCTCCATCTCACTTCCGTACAGTGCATTGACTCCGGGGGAATGGCAGGGCATCAGCTGTCTCCGACCAGGCCTCCTTGCCCCTGGGTGGTGGGGCCTCCCAAAGGTTTCTTGGGGAGGGAACTTTCCATTGAGCTGCTGGGGACCCTCAGTGAGGATCAAGAGAAGCTGACCTTGCACATGCCCAGCACAGCTTCTGTGGGCTCAGTATATGAGCCCCTTCTTTCCCTCCTTACCTCATTGGTGGTTTGAGGAGGTAAGGAGCTCCCCTCACTGTATCAGCCTCTTCTGCAGGCTTCTTTGAGGTTTCCCAGTCCTACGGCATCCCTCCAGGTCCCTGGTGCTAGAAGTTCTGAGAAGGGGCTCCACACCGCTGTTGCTCACTATAGGAGGCAGACTCCTGTGGCTCTGCAGACCCAGTGTGGGCTGCAAGAGGACCACAGACAGACCCAGCTGCCATTCTGAGGGGTTTGGGGATGGACATGCAAGGTGTCAGGTCTGGCTGGGAAACTGGTGCCTCTTCCTACCTGACTCTTCTTCCAAAGGCAAGGCTCCAGGGCAGGGACTGGGGAAGCCATGGGGAGAGTCTAAAAGGGATAAAGCATTTAAAAGAGTAGACACAGGGTCTTGGGACTGGGTTTTGAGGTTGAGTTGAGAACAGGGAGAAAACCTGAAGGTTGGTGCCCCTATGGGGCAGACCAGTAGAGAATTCCCTTGACTACTTTTTTTATCTGGTTTTCCCTCTCTAGCTTCCAGGACCTCCATGCCATGTGAGGTGCCTGGGTCTCTGTCACAAGTCAGGAGCCCTATAGAGAGACCCCTCCTTTTGTACAAGTACCTGAATGCTGCAGTGAGCAGACTTTTGTAAAATTTTATATTAGTTTTTAATGTGAGTGGCGACTCAGTTCCTGGGGCAGCAGTCAGCCTGGGACTTTTGTAAGCAAGTACCTGAATGCTGCAGTGAGCAGACTTTTGTAAAATTTTATATTAGTTTTTAATGTGAATGGCGACTCAGTTCCTGGGGCAGCAGTCAGCCTGGGACTTTTGTAAAAATTTTTGGGTGACTCACTTAGATGTTGTTTCCTTCTTGTCCCCTCTTGTTCTGTGTAATCTAAGTGCATTAAACATATTTGCAGAAGCGCCTGGGTCGTGTCTCCTTTCTGCTGCCTAGTGTAGGGGAGCAGGAAGCCTGGGGCCCTGGCAAAGGGGGAGGCCAGGGATGGGGAAGGTCCCAAGACTGTTGTTGGGAGTGAAGGGGGTGCCAAGGAACAGGATCATGCAGCTGGTGACTCTTCAGTCATGAAGAAATGACTTTGCAGGGATAGGCTGTCCCTTGTTGATCTTGAATTCCTCTAAGACCAAGGTGGTAGGAGTGAGGAACACAGTCTGGGCAGATGAGCAGGTGGGTAAAGACCCTCTCTGTGCCACCTCATTCCTCTTTTACCCTCCTCTTACCAAAAATTTCCCCTTGGGAAGAGGGGCCCCAACAGGTGAGGAAGGTGGGTCTTCCTTACCTCTAGTTTTGGAGTCCTTGCCCCCTTCCAGCTAGCTGCCCCCTCACCAGGCATCTAAATTCAACCTCCTAATCCAGGGCAGAACTCAGGATCCGGATGGAGGGGCAGTCTCAGAATAGGTTGTACCCAGTGAGTGACACAGGCAAACCCACCCTTCCTAGCAACTCCTCTGGCCTTGCGTTGGATGAGGAGGTGGGTGCATCTTCCCTCCCTGGACTGCCCCGCTCCTGCCTCTCTAGGACGTGGATACGACAAAACAGAGCCCAATGCTGGGGGTGGGGGGAGTGGGGGTGAGGCAACAGCTTGAGACCTTGGAGGCAGGCAGGATGGGGTCTGCGCTCAGGCAGAGTTCTCAGTACCCTGGGCCCTCACCCTCAAGTGTTGTTTCCCTTCCTGCTCAGCAGACCTGGTTTTCTGTCCTGGGGAGTGGCAGAACCTTTTCTCCTGGTCCTCAGGATGGGGCTGCAGCACCCAGGGGGTTCTGCTGAGGTTGGTGGCAGAGGTTCTGGGACATCACAAGCAGAAGAGAGGGAGTGTCAGCTCCTGTGAATGTGAAGGGTTTTTTAGCTCCTCTCCCCATCCTCTGTGAGGCCCAGCCTTCGGGGGACATTCCCCTGGAGGAGGTCATCACCCCTCCTTCTGCTGTGACCTTGTACTGAACTCTGGCAAGTGGCTGGCCCTGGAGCAGTGGGGCAGGTCCTATCTGGGGCCTTTGGTCCCTCTGGTGGTCAGAACAAAGGAGTGGAGAGGGTCTTGAGCCAGGTTGACAACCCCTGGGTGGCCCAAGCCACACCCCTTTCCCTTTCTCCCTGGAGATTGGGGGTGGGGGTGCTTATCCTCCTCAGCTGAATCTAGCCTAAAAGGATCTAGGGTAAGGGTGAAGTTTTTGCCCCAGAAAATGTAGAAGTGAGATCCTGTGTTTAAGTGGTTCTGGGAGACAGTACCAGGCTGCTGGTGTTTCTTGAAAGAGAAGGGCTCCTGGGCCTAGAGGAGAGGCCCTATCCCTAGATTTCAGTAGGGGAGAAATCTGCCATGTGATCTTTAATGTCCCCTCCAGAAAGGCCTGTACATTCCTCCCAGTGTCTGTTCTGCCTTATCTAAGGGGGCCAGGGACTCTGGGGCGGGGGGGGCCCCAGGCTCCAGGGCCATGGGGCCAGGGATCCTGAGAGATTTGCCAAACTGGCCTGACCAGGGGGAGAATGCAAGCTAGAAGTGACTCAGCACAGCATGCCAGGCACAGAGGCAGCTGCAGGCTGCAGAGGGCAGGAGGTGGGGAGGCCAGAAGAGGGGTGAGGGGGGTGATCTGTTGGGCAGGAGAAGGGAGAAACATGTCCCAAGACTGGAGAAGCAGGTGAGGATGTGGTGTGAGGGGCAGCTATCTCCAGGCCTCTTCCATGAGGCATGGTGGGACTAACCTGCCCCCTCTTCTCTTCTTGTGCCAGGAAGTCTTTGAGAGAGAGCTAAGGGCAGAATGGGGAAAGGAGCAAGTGACTAGGCCGGCCCGTGGCTCACTTGGAAGAGCATGGTGCTGATAACACCAAGGACATGGGTTCGGATCCTATATAGGAATGGCCAGTTAGCTCACTTGGGAGAGTGTGGTGCTAGCAACACCAAGTAAAAGGGTTAAGATCCCCTTACCCGTTATCTTGAAAAAAAGAAAGGAGCAAGTGATTGCTGCTGCATGTTCATGGTTTGTGAGCATAGCTCTCTCAGTGACTTGGCGATGGGAGATTTTGAGAGGGTTGTGATGAGAATAGTGGCCTTATTGGGGCCAGAGAAACCAAGGGCAGAGACCCTGTTCATTTTTCCAGTTTTACCCACCTCCACCCCACACCCCATCCATTTCAGTAC